GGAGGAAGAGGAGAGAGAGAGAGAGGGGACTGGCGAGGGAGAGGAGGAGAGACCCTCCAAGCTCCCGATACCTCAGGCGGTGATAACCGCCGTGCCAGCTCGGTCGCCCGCTGCTGCTCCGCTCGCTGCTGCGCTATGCTGCGCTCCTGCTTCAGCCCCTGCGCTAAGTTTAGCGCATCAAACAGTACACTAGCACTGACCATGCCGTGCCGGTAGAGTTCTGGTAGGCCGATCCCACTACTGAGGCGGATACCGGTACTTATACCGGTGGGCAATGGTCTGGCCTCAATGCTGCGAGGCCAGGCCAGACCCTGAACCGTCCAGATGGACGGTTCAGCCTCAATCGGCGGGCGGCAGCTTCAAGAGCGCCGCCAGGCCCAAACGAAGTGTCGTTTGCCCAAACGAAGTGTCGTTTGGGCCTACCCGATGGGTGATAGTCCAAAATCAGGCCTTCAGGGCCTGTAACCCCAAAGGTTGGGCCTTTAGGCCCTAAGTCGGATCCGGTAGGACCCTTGTGAGTCGAAGATGTAACATACGACCTCTAGGACTCACTAAAACCTCTATCCAACAGGTCTACAGATCGAACCCCTACAACCTACGGACCTATGACAGCCTACCAACTGTTGCGAATACACAGGTCGCGGGTTCAACTCTCGGGGTCGACACAGGTACTGTACATAGGTAAGGTAAAGACTGGGGATCGAGCCTTGTGAATACCGTTTCACAATCAATACAACAATAATAATTCTCTGCTCCCGCTGGACACTCTACCAGTTTATATGATCATTTACTCTATCTGCTACTCTAGCCTAGAGGATGCCAATGTACAATGATTCAGATTACAGTGCTGCAACATGCTTGCCTGAATGACGATTGTAACCCACTGGAGCTCTTCACAACAACATCCATCTCTCTCTCTCTCTCTCTCTCTCTCTCTCTCTCTCTCTCTCTCTCTCTCTCTCTCTCTCTCTCTCTCTCTCTCCCCTCCCCCCCCCTTCTCCCCGGAGTTTCCACTTCCTCTAAGAACTTTCTCTCCTTGAGCCACCTCTCTCACTTCCCAGTGCCCAGTTATGCCTGGCTATACTGGCTGGCTGGTGCTGGCTACTGCCTCTGCATGGCCGTTCAGCCTCCCTGCGCTTCCCATCCAAAATGTGTGTCTGGCTGCTCGGCATCTCCCTGTATGCGGAGGGCAGAATCTGGACTGGGTGGGTAGCCCCTGCATTCAACTAGCTTCCAGAAGAAAACACAGGTCTGCTGGGATCTCAACTACCTGGCATGTATTCGGCCTCGGACTGAAACTGGCCGGCAATTTACTTTTCATGTGCACATGCTCAACAATAGAATCCAGATCCACATATCCATCCATGGAGGGTGGGAACATGAATGTTTGTGAAGGAAACTGATTGTCAGTTCTAAAAGGTAACAACGTCGATGCAAGTTGGAACATCAATGACATAAGAAAGACTGTCTGGGTCATTATATGCAAGAAGCGGATGACTGCCACAGACATGGCGGGGACCAAGCAGGGGGCGGGGAAGAAAACACACTGGCAAAATTAGGGGCAGTTTGTTCCCTGGCATGGCCAGGACCCCTGGTTCTCTTCCCTCTTTTCGTCCATCCACTTCACCTCCTCACCCCCTCCGCAGGAGAAAGGGTACGCGTCGGAACAACAATCACCATGAGATTTGTGAACTAAACAAAACAATATCTACCGATCAGCCAAGTAGTCAATCAATCAATCCATCCATCCATCAATCAATCAATCAATCAATCAATCAATCAATCAATCAATCAATCAGTCGATCAATTGATCGATGAATCAATCAATCAATCAATCAATCAATCAATCAATCAATCAATCAATCAATCAACCAATCTGTAATGACCCTCCCAAACATGGACGGAGACACAGCTGATTTCTGGGTTATGCTCATAGAATGAATGCCTTTCTGAGTTTCCTGCTTGTTGCTGACTTTTCTAAGTCTGTGTGTGTGCATGCTTGCTGGTCCGCATGCCTGTCTGAGTGTTTGTGTGTGTGTGACCCGCAAGGGCACTTGTTCGTTCAGAGGGTCCAAAGGGCCGGTACTTACCTGTGGCCGTGACGTTGAGGATTGCGGCGGGAAAAACACTCAAGTGGTGGGAAAGAGGCCCGCGGCACTTGAAGCAGCGGGAAAACACTCAAGTAGCAGGTAGGTCGGGACCACACCGGGTAGAGGTAGATGTTACATGCCCAGTTGGGCAATGTATGTAAAGCCAAGGATCCGCAATGTGATAGATAAAAAGGATTGAATGGACAATGCGATATTAGTGGAATC